ACAGTGCAAGACAGGAAAAGCTTGAGTGGGTTCAAGCAGCAGGGACATAAAAGCCACTGAAGATTGGATGTAGGAGGCGAGGTGAACAGTGTGAGGTTGATGAGAGGTCAGGAGTTTAGACTGGGCAGGCCTGGATTCCAGGTGCCATGGGAAGCCATGGAGGGTTTTAAGCAGGACAGACATGATCTAGGTTAGGTAGTGATAAGTTCACTCGGGCCACTGGGTACAGAATGCCCTATACAGGGGCAAGATGGAAGTGTGGGACTGATCAGGAGTTCCTTACAAGATGAGTCCGGCTTAGGCTACATGGGTGCCATCAGTAGAGATGAAAGGAAGTGCATGAATTTGGAAGCACTTGCAATAAAGTCCTGGAGTTGTATATGATCCATTATTCAGTCAGCTATCAGCCTCAGATTTCCCATCTCTATTTGGTGTGGGTCCTGAGAAGCTTTGCTCTGCGTCCTTGGTCCATCCAGCTCTTGAGCCAATCCTGACTTAGCTCCAGCATGCATGGAGCTGCACATTCCCCTAGCTGCCTTATCTGTGCCCAGCTGTTCCTAGTCAGACCCTGTCTAATGAGAGCTGAGCTTAGTCTGGTGCCCCCTTCCCATTTCTGAGCTGGATTGAGATCTCCTTTGAATATCATCAGACTTCTGCAGTTGGAACCTAATAATTTTTACTTCTTCCCTTGGGATCATGGTGTAGGACCTCCTAACCCTGACATTTTAGTGGCCTCCCATGGGGCTTAGAGTAAGATCTAGATTTCTATGTGGCCCCTGATGACCTGTTCATCCAGGCTCTCCTTGAGCCATTCCCTCCCTTGGTCACATCAATACAGGAAACTGTTCTCTGGAATCCCTCATGATCATTCTTTCTTCATCCCTTTGCTCTTGAGGGTCTCTCTGCCTTGCATGCTCTTCTTCTGTTTTTTTGTTTGTTTGTTTGTTTTGTTTTGTTTTGCCTCTTTCATATCCTATGACATCTAACCTTTCTTCTCTAAAGTCATTCGACAGCATACATTCTCAGTGGGAGTGATCCCATCCCCAAAGGGTAAAAATTGGTTTTTGGAGAATGAAAAAAATCTTATTCTTTTCATGTATAAAGCACAGATATACATACATGACATAGGTAGATAGATAGATAGATAGATAGATAGATAGATAGATAGACAGACAAATATAGGGCACATAGTAGTTATTCAATACATATTTGATAATTCAGTTACTATTGTGACCAGGATTGTGACCAAGTATCAGAACAAGGAACCATTGGGCCAACAGGATCTTAGATTTCAACCTCTGCTTAAATGCTACCAGTTTTGTTGGATCTCTTTTTGGCACTGGATCTAAGTTTAAGCCCCCTTTTTTGCCCCATCGTCAAGTTAATCTCTTATCTCTGGTCTTGACTATTTCCAGTTTTCTCTCGTTCCTGACCACTGAGAATCTGGTAATGGTTTCATCCAGCTGTATTCTATAAAACTGAGATATCATAGTGAATACCATATGGATTAAAATAAATCTCTTTTCAAGAAAAGCACAATGATAGGCTAACAATCTTGGAAATTACACAGCAGAAGGAATGGACAATTATCTGATTTGATTTAGCAATAAATTGAATCACAGTGAGCATCTGTAATAGAAAAAAGACAGGAAGGAAGCAAACCTAAATGCTAACAATGTTATCCATTTCTGGAACGTGGACTTGCAGTTAGTTCATTTTATCCTTATGCTTTTGGTTAATTTAGGAGTTTTCTAAAACAAGCATGTATGTCTTTTATCATAAGAAACAAGGGTTTTGGTGGTTGGGTTTTTAAAGACTATTCACAATACTGCAGGATTAGAGAGGTATCGTGGTGCATGGATCCAGGATCAGTCCTATTTGATTATACAATGACCCCCACAAAGGGTTTCAGAGTGATTTCTGTGTTTAGGGAAGCCATAGGATTTGGCCAACCTCTCCCATTAGGCAAATAGCACCAGCCTTCTTACCAAGAGGATACCGACTCTCTGTACCACAGAATTTTGTGTTTGTTAGCTTTTGAAAAGTGACCATGACTCCCAAAAGTACAAAAAGTTGTTTGTACTACAAGGTACTCCCCCATGCAAAATAGAAAAACAAACAAAAACCACACATTCCCATATAGTTTAAAACATTCCTCTGCGGCTTCATGGCTCTCTGAAGCCAAGGTTATGAAATCCTGACGTAAGAAAATTTCTTAGTAAAATGCCTCTGGAAACCTAGGCCACATCTCTCCATTTTACCCTCACAGGTAACTGCCGTGACTGGCTTCCCGAATATCTCAAACTTTCCTTGTCCTGAAGGACTTTCTAGACCTTACCTCCTCCTAGCTCATCTCACCTGAACCCAAACAACCAGTCACACTTCAGTATCTGTAAAGATAACATTAGGGGTTCTTAATTTTTTCATGATCAAGGAATGGTTTTAAAATACTGGAACTATGGGTAGATCAATTAATGAAAACAGTCCAACAGTAGATTCAACAATTCATCAATAATGACAATGCCCATTGTGACAGCTAACAACGTCTCACAAGGGCCCCAAGCATCAGGCTTAGCACACAAATCATTTCAATTCTGAGCCATGACCTTGATCTTTTATATACCCACAAGGTGACAATGTAAATGATGCTGCAACAAAATATATGCTCTCTTGTACACAAAATGAATCATATACATAAATTAAAATTTGGTGGCTTACCTGGAAAGGTTTATGGTACAAATGGTATGGTGAGGCGTGTGGTTTAAGAACCACTAGGGCAGCGGTTCTCAACCTGTGGGTCGCGACCCCTTTGGCGATCGAACGACCCTTTCACAGGGGTCGCCTAAGACCATCCTGCATATCAGATATTTACATTATGATTCATAACAGTAGCAACATTACAGTTATGAAGTAGCAATGAAAAGAATTTTATGGTTGGGTCACAACATGAGGAACTGTATTTAAAGGGCCAGAAGGTTGAGAACCACTGCCCTAGAGGGAAGAGAGGATTGAGGATGGCAGTGTTGTAGGTGGATGTTACACTCAAATTACAACTAAAATATAGATAGAGCAAGCAACCTGAGTAACCAACTGAAGACTAGCTGAAGAGAAGTCTCATAACCAAGGATTTACAGAAGCCACAACAAGACTAGTAGGAAGGGCAGAGACGCAAATAGGGCTGGCCCCCAATCCTACCAGCAGCAGCTAAGATTCCAGAGGGACATCTCAGCTGCGGAGGGGTTCCCCCTAAGAAGTGTGGGGTCTAAATCCCAAGAGAGGCTCCCCAGCCCAGAGCACCAGAGCCAGGAAGAGGTGCACACATAATATCTGGGGCTGAAAACCAGCAAGGGTCCCTAGCTGGTTTGGCTCAGTGGATAGGGTGTCAGCCTATGGTCAAGAGCACATGCCGGATTGCAGGCTCGATCCCTACGGGGGGCATGCAGGAGGCAGCCAATCAGTGATTCTCATCATTGATGTTTCTATCTCTCTCCCTCTCTCTTCCTCTCTGAAAGCAATAAAAATATGTGAAAGTCTTTTTAAAAAGAAAAGAAAAACAAAACCAGGGATTCTGTCCACCCAAGAGAAAGAGAGAGAGTCTACTACAGACACAGGTGCCCTCTTAAAGGGCCAGTGCACAAAAATCTCATTTGCAGCCACTCATCCTGGGCTCCAGGGGAGGGAGGGCAGAGCAGACTAGAGTAGTGTAAGAAGAGACTAGAGTTTGTGGCTCTGGGGAGAGAGCTGAAGGGACAGCCACCAAGATCCCTGTGCTGAGTCCCTCTCCCACACCACAGATGCCATCTTTCTTGAGAGGAGCACTCCCCTCCCTAGGGCATCAGCCTGTAGAAAAGCAATAGCCCCACCCTCTGGACTTTCTGTTGTCACAGCCTTTGAAGCTTGTACCCTGCTGAGGAGTCAGCTGCTTGGGCAGGGGTGTAGAGGTGAGGGCACTCAGAAGGTGTCAGTGGTTGTGTTATATGGCTTTGCAGCAGGGGCCATTCCCACCACATTCCTGTGAACCTGACTGGCACCTCTCTCTCTCATAGGAGATCCATTCTCTCCACTCTCCAGACTTTGGCGGCTCCACCCTATCGAGTCCTGGTGGCTATGTTCTGCTGAGATCTGGGCAGAAAAATGGAACTGCCTTATGACTTAGAGATTCCACTTCCGGGAATATATCCAACTAAACCCAAAACCCTAATTCAAAAGAATATATGACCCCTATGTTCATTGCAGTGTTATTTACAATAGCCAAAATTTAGACATCGTCCCTGGGCCCATTAGTTGATGAGTGGATAAAAAGGTGTGGTACATTTACACAATGGAATACTACTCAGCCGTAAAAAGGAAGACAATCTTACCTTTTGTGATAGCATGAATGAACCTGAAGAGTCTTATGCTAAGTGAAATAAGCCAGTCAGAGAAAGACAAATACCATATGATTTCACTCATATGTGGAATCTAATGAACAAAATAAACTAGTAAACAAAATAGAAACAGACTCATAATATAGAGAACAGATTGACAGCTGTCAGAGAGGGTTGAGGTTGGGGGCTGGGTGAAAAAGGTGAAGAGATTAAGCAAAAAAGAAAAACAACAACCTCGTAGACACAGACAAAAGTATGATGATTACCAGAGGGGAAGGGGGGGTGGAGGTGGGAGAGCATAAAGAAGAGATAAATGGTGATGGCAGGAGACTTGAGTTGGGGTGGTGAAAACACAATTCAACACAGAGATGATATGTTATAGAATTGTACACATGAAACCTGTATAATTTTATTAACCAATGTCAACCTAATAAATTTAAAAAAACCAACCACTAGAGAATTTAAAATATTTTTTATATTCAAAGCACCATATTATGGGACAATGACTTTAGGACCATCATTTAAACAAACAAACCTAGAGAAAAATTATTTAGTGAAAAAAAAATGTATTTGGCTGCCCAAACCTGTCTGGACTAAAAGAGACTATTTGCTGGGGGGAAATACCATTCTTACCTCCTCCAGGGCCCACAGGGAGTCCACAGTGGGCTTGATCTTCTTCTGGGTGTAGAGCCCTAGGAGTTTGTCCACCACTCCTCGAATGAGGCCTGCGCGGCCCTGTTTGAAGAGCAGATTTAAAAGGGAAAACCCTGCGATGACTTTGTTCTCTTCATATAGCTTGATGGGGTTCACTTTCTCCACCTGCCACCACTGGAAAGAGAGAAGGTGCCAGGTTACAAGGACTCGTTCTCAGCAAAACAGGGCTGCAGTGGGCCCGGTTCTAGCTGGCTGAGAGGTAGATCTGGTTGGTATGTGTGTGTTTTCTTAATCTTTATTGTTGTAAGTGTTACAGATGTCCCCCTTTTTTCTCATTGACTCCCTTCCACACACACACCCGCCCCAGTTCTTCACCACACTCTTGTCTGTGTCCATGGGTTATGCATATATGCATACAAGTTCTTTGGTTAATATCTCACCACCCACCCCATCTTCCCCTGAGATTCGTCAGTCTGCTCCATGCTCCTGTGTCTCTGGATCTATTTTGTTCATGAGTTTATTTTGTTCATTAGATTCCACATATGAGGTTGGTGTGTTTTTTTAAAGCATCTATTTGGTGAGTGCATGGAGAACTACAGACAGTGGTGCTTATGAGAAGAGCTCAGGATCAAGGTGGGAGAGAGCCCTTTAAAATGAGCCACTAGGCCACATGTAGTTGGAATGTGAAAGAATATGGTTAGGATTACTAGCTCTGGAGTTGAATCCTGGCTATACAGCTTGCTCCCTGTTATTCTCCATGCTTCATTTTTCTCAGCTACATACGGTGGCAGGGTATTGCCTCTGATGTTCCCTGGGAGAAGTCAGTGTAAAGCACTTGGCTTTGTGAATGGTGATGGTGGTAAGGGGTTGTTGAAAGGAGGGGTGGATGAAGGGAGTGAGGTGGCATAGAGGTTTACAAAGTGTGCTGGGGACACAGTAGGGGTGATGACATTGACTGCAGGTGTAGCTTTCCTGGGGGAGTAATGATAAGGCTGGAGGGGTGACTGGAAATGCATCAGAGAAGGAAGAGGAAGAAAGTGTCATACAGGAAGAAGGAACAGTGGACTGAGGGATAAAACATAGTGTTGGGGCTAAGACAGTGGCTCTCAACTGTGGGCAGTTTTGCCCCTGAGGGAACACTGGTAATGTTTAGGGACATTTTTATTGTGATGACTGGATCTACTGGCCTCCAGTATATAGATGCCAGGGATGTTGCTAAACATCCTATAGTGCACAGGATAGCACCTTGCAACAAGGAATTGTTCACCCCAAAGTGTCAAAAGCACTAAAGATGAGAAACCCTGGATTAAAGTCCTCTGTGGGAATACACATAACTGGCAAATATGGCTGCCTATCTCCCAATCAGACATGAAAATAAGCAAGCCATCCATTAACAAACTACAGAAATGGTTATCCAACTGCTTTGTTCTGATTTAATTGTGTTTCCTTTGGTGCCGGTTTGAATTTAGAAATTCAACTTCCAGTTTCTTGAGGGTTCTGAGAAATGAGATGGTTACTCTCAGTTTAATATTGAAGACAAAGAGGAATGTGCTGGGCACTTATGAGCATTTATAATATCAGTGTTATCGCTCTGTTTGTTTACATTTTGCCTCTTTCCAGGATTGAAGAGGCTCAAAAAAGTAAAAGGTCTGATTTTTTTTTAAAGTGAGAAAATCATATTGTTAGGAAAATAAGCGGGAGAAAGACAGGCTTATATAGGGATAAGGTTCGTGCATAAAATTCTTTACCAAAGTACATTCCCGAGGGCCTGAGGGCCAGCTCCAGGAGAACCATGTATTTGACCATGGGTTACTTATCGAAAAAAAAGCAAAAGACACCATCAATGACTTGATTTGCACTACATCTGCAATGCCGTAATAAATATTTGTGAAATGAATCCTTGCTGATTCTACAATTGCTGTACAGTTGTGGTTGAGTTCTAGAGCTGAATGCCTGGTTTCAAATCCTAGTTCCTCCACTTACTAGCTGTGCAACCTTAAGCAAGTCACTTAACCTCTCTATGTGCAGTTCCTTGTGGTTCCTCATGGGGTCATCTTGAGGAGTAAATATGTTAATGCATACAAAGTGCTTAGTGTCTGACACACACTAGGTGCTCTATAAATATGAACTAGCTTTATTATCACCGAATGTTGGAAGGAATGGTTCTGATTTAGTGAACAGGAATTCTGAATTTGGAGTCAGACTGCTCTGTAAATGCTAGCTTCACCTATTATTAGCATAATCATTATGGTCTGAAAGCAAATGGCATGCTTGACAAAGTGTGCACAAGCTCTGTGGGAGTGTTAAGGTAGAACGTAATTAAGATAGCTGAGTGAAAAATTCCGGTGTGATTACAAACATGCTTTCATTTCTAAGCCTCTCTTGAATGTATAGAAAAAAAAAATCCCTTCTAGAATCTTCCAGAACAAAGGTATCATTCCACTCCTTGGCATGCCCTATTTTCAATTTGCTTCTAAATGACCAACTGACACTGTGCCAGGCCTCTGAAAGGGAAGCCTTCTTTCTTGACCTCCAGCTAGTAGTGTTCTGATAACCGCCGCCCTTGGTTTGGGCAGGAAAATCTCAACCTGCATCCTGGCTGTGTTTTTGTGTGCGCCTTCATCAAACCTGGGTACCCTGCAATTATTTCATTAAAACTGTGTGTTGTGATTGTGCATTTGGGGAAGAAATGGAAAACACTTATTACAATTGTATGTAATTTGGGACCGATTTGGTTACCCTCAGCAGGCTGTCAACATCACGGTAATTACTGCCATAGCAACAAAGCAGCTGTGAGTGACACAAAGCCCGTCTCCAGGGGACATGCTCCAGACAGCATCCTTCATTAGACGCTTCCTGCTCCCAGTTTATTCTGTAGCTGAACTTTAAAGTTCAAATGCAAACAGAGACCCTTTAATTCTAATTTCATGGGGCAGGAAGTAGTAATCATTCCAGAATCAGGGCATGTTGGGGATGAAGCCTCCAGCAGCCAGTGTTGCCACTTAAACGGCATATGAATACTCTGTAGCCACACTTAGAATGAATCCAAACCCCTTGCCACAGCTTTACCTGACCATCTATTCAAAACGCCTCTAGCCCACCCTACCGTTTTCTATTTCAGCATCTCCTTTCATTTCTTCAGAGCTTTTATGACCATTTGCAATCAAGTTATTTGTATGTTTTACTTATTTCAGTTGTGTTTCTCATGAGAATGTAAGAGTCACAAGGGCCTCAGATGCCCCTGTCTCACTCGATGTTACACCCAGTGCCTGGCTCAGAGCTGCAAATAGCAGGTGCTCAGAAGATGCTTGCAAAGTAAGGGAAACAAAATAAGGGAAACGTCACGGAAACTGGGAGGAGAGAAGACAAAAGCAAGGTCTTTTGAGAAGCAGCAATCCCCTGTTGTCAGGGGGAAAGTCACCCAAGTGTAGCTCTAGGTGGGAATGTAGGTCTGAGTAGGAGCACAATGGGGTGAATGTCCAGGAATATGGCTTTTCCACTGCAGATAAAGTAACCACTGTATTCAGAGCATGCTTATCTAAGGCAATGGTTCATAAACTCTCCTAGGTCTAAAACTCACCCCAGGAGCTTGCTCAAAAGGATCCCATTTATATCTCCAACTCGTAAAATTAGGATTCAGAGAAATCTCAAGTACCCACAGAAAGCTGGTCAGAATGTTTATTTGCTTTCCATGAAGGAAATAAAATGCACTATTGGTTTCTTTTCAACCAACGGTTAAAAATATCAACACATAAGCAATCCCTATTGAAATCAAAATAAAGCTTTCTGGAGTTTCACATACATGCCCCCACTCCCTGCTGACTTGTTTAGACAAAAACAGCCCAAGTCACAGTGAGCGTGTAGTGAGCAGGGCGGGAATGCAGGCTGCACTAAAGATGAATAATGCAGGTGAAGGACAACAAAGGTTTAGGTTATGAGGTCAATGTCCTTAGATGTGAGAGCTCACAACATGCAAACCACTGCCCACCAAAGTACATTACCGTGTGTGGGTACTTACTGATTTTGCAAAGCTAAAGAAGCTCTTGGTCTCTCCAGTCACCATGTTGGATGAACCTGAAAATGGAAGATTCCCAAATCAAGTGACCGCTAATAAAAATCAACATGCCTTGTTAGGGCAGTTGTTCAGCCCAGAACTGTCAGGAGCTTGAGTCCGCCTGGGGAAATGGGGCTAATGGAGGGGGTAGGCGGTGACAAGGTGCCTTGATTTGAACCAAGTTACACTGGATCAAAGAGGAAGTAACATCTCTCAAGGTGACCATGTCATTACTGTGGAAAGTTGGGCATGTGCCAACATTCTAACAAAATGACGAGTTGCTGAAATGTCTGGTTGGTTTCCATTCTTTGAGACTGAGAAATGGACTCCTTTGTGGCTTGAAGTTGACTCCTTAGCAAGTGAGGGGCTTGGGGCTTTGCCTTGGGCGGGGCACATAGGGGTAGGAAGAGACTGGCTGAGCTAGAATTTAGGTGGATGGATAAATTGTCCCACGGAGGAGCAGATGAGAGAGGAACAGGCTCAGCAGCCACAGAAATAGTGTGGCCGATGCCTTAGCTCCAGAGAGGTCTGGGCAGAAAGGTGAAAAACCACTTGAGATAAATGGCATGTGAAACTGAACTTTGCTAATTGGAATAAGCACTATTAGAGGGAAGACGGGGGGTGAAGTTGGGAAAGATTCCCTAAGATGCTCTTACAGAGAAAAGACTGCTGTGGGTTCCCAGAGGGGGTAAATGAGAGAGCTCTTAAACCTTCAGATACCATGTGGGGGCCTTTTCAAGGAGTTTTCCCTCTTGTCCCCATAGAACTGAGAGTAAATTCTTTTCAGTGAACTGTTATTAATGAAAAATCAGTATATATTTTAAGCTTAACTATTTGGCCTGGTTAAACTGGTTGACAGCTAATCACTGCTTCTAATTTTATGTGGTGACTACCACCAGGCATCATTGTACTAGGCTTCAACTACTTAGTAATCAAGTAGTCAATGTAATGAATTAGACACTACAATATAATTGGGTTGTATTCCATGAAATATATGAAACTGGGGCAAAAATAGAATTGGTAAATAGGTAAAAAATGCAAAAACTGTCCATCTGCACTTGACTCACATGTTAGTCACACCATGTGAGTCGTACCCAATATCCCTACATTGTGCATTGATGCTCAGTGCTTCTCTTATCAATAGTAATAATTTAAAAATTTCGTGTCCACCTCTAAGGGCTTTAAAATATGTGGCCACTGTTGAAAATACCAAAACACACCAGCAATGGAAAGCTTATTCCCTCTTTTTCATAATGACTGGATGACAACAAAAAGATGCTTGCATATTTATACCTCTTTTATAAGTGTCTCAGCTAATAGCAAGGAAACTGTATTTTTTTCTAAGTTATACAGAACTGAGGCTCAATTTTCTGTTGTACATAAAGGCTACAGATATACCAAAAATTTCAAATGTTGGATAACCCAATATAATTTGGCTTTGGAATGTAACTTCTGGCTTCAGATATGCTTTTCTGACTTTGTGGAGACTAATGTTTAAATTGCTTTGAAAGAAGAGAAGAAGAAGAGAAAAGGGGCTCTGGGGGGTCTCACTCTGCTAGAGAAAACCTGCTCCCTATTGTCTTTCATAAATCCTCCCAAACTTGAGATGCAGAAGCAGGTCCGTTCCCCGTCTACCCAGGGCCTCTGTCTTGATTGGGACATACAAGGGTAGTTTAGAGGAAGGAGGGTCTGTTGGGTTTTGTTTGTTTGTTTGTTTGTAATTTCACCTCTAATACTGAAGAACTGGAAGAACTGCCTTTAAAACCCCAATATAGCAGCCACTCCTCTCCATCCTACTGTGGGTCCTTCCTTGGTTCCCCACCTGTGCCACTTTCTGTGGGTCCCATCTCAATGACTACATTGGTTTGGCTTGGCTTGATCTCTTTTGGAATAAGAAGTATTCCTGGGAGTAACAGGGCAGTAGGTACATATGTCACTTTTATTATTGAAAACAACTAATGCCAATAGCAATATTTTGGGACACATCAAAAAAGCAAACACCCCAACCTCATTGCCCTAACATAGCAACACATTTCATTTTTTAGAGCCTTTGTCTGTAAGCACCTGAGCAATGTTCGGTGAGCATGTCCCCCGCTACTGTTCAGCACTCACCATATAGAATGTAGGTCCCCAGGGGTTTGAGAAGGCTGAGACCTTTGCCGGTGTTGTCCCCACAGAGGCAATCCAAAACAATGTCCACTCCTTCCGCAGAGATTCTAAATGGCGAGGACACAAAGGACAATACTGTAACCTGTCAGGGACCAAACTGTCGATCCCTTTCCCTTCCTGTGTCATACTGTTTATTCCCAGAATTAGGAAGATCTAGAGCTCTTGGGAATAGCAATAAATAAAGCAGAAGCCCCGGAAATTCATTTATCCTCCTAAGTCCAGCTATACAATTTCATAAAACTGGAGGCAGCCAAGAATCTGGCTGTTGGCTGATACAGAGAACCAGCCTGGGCTAGAGAATGAGCATGAACATCACGGTCAGACAGTCTACATTGTATCTAGCTGCCTCCCTCAGCTTTCCGGTGCCTTCGCTTTCTCCTTTGTAAAGTGGAGCTGGCATGTTTCTTTGTGATAAAAATGAAATGAGGTGACCAATGAAATGCTCGGCCCATTGCCAGCCACATAACAATCACCCCATAAGTCAGTCAGTCAACACTTCATATTTGTGGAGCTTGAGTTATGTGCCATGCCCTGTCCAAGGTGCTGGAGCTAGAGTGGTGAACAAAACCATGTTCTCTGTCTTCCTGGGGCTTCTGGTCTCGGAGGGATTGGCTGTCTTCCCTCTCCACCTCTCTCTTTAGTGAAGCTATAAAAATCATGTTAATTTAATTTGCAAACTTCCATTTGTCCAGTCTCCAGGTTCAATCTAAAACAGTGATGGCGAACCTATGATATGCGTGTCAGAAGTGACACGCGAACTCATTTTTTTGGTTGATTTTTCTTTGTTAAATGGCATTTAAATATATAAAATAAATATCAAAAATATAAGTCTTTGTTTTACTATGGTTGCAAATATCAAAAAATTTCTATATGTGACACGGCACCAGAGTTAAGTTAGGGTTTTTCAAAATGCTGACACGCCGAGCTCAAAAGGTTCGCCATCACTGATCTAAAACATAGTCTTAAAGGAAGAGGATTAAAAGGAGAGGATCTTCCTATAGCAGTAGAAGGTTCTAGACCTGGGAGAATCTGCCATTTGTACTCTATTAGGCAGTACTCTATTAGGAAGAAGGTCCCTTCTTCCATTCATTTTTTTAAACCTTTACCTATTCACTCACTCACACATGCATTTAACAAACATCTACTGGGCTTCCACTAATAGAAGATATCTGCAGGAGGGAACTCTGAAGATTGTAGGGAAAACATTTATGCTCACAGAGCTCCCAATTGTGGCTGGGCCCTGCTCTGCTCAGAAAAGAATGGTGTTTCCTCAGATGTGTGAGTTTGCAGGATTATCTTGTTTTTGCACAGTTCAGCTTTTCTATCCCCACCCTCATCCCCAGCAAAATTTAGGCACTGCAGCACATGTCAATAGCTGTGTCCATAATGTCACTAACTAGGAAATTTCATGGGCATCTCTTGGGTTCAGACAATAAATGGACAGCTGAGTCTTAATGTGAATATGCCGTTCAAAACCCTCAAGATCAAGCCTAAAATCCATCCCATTACAAAGGCTCATCCAAAATTATGAGTTTTGCTTCAGCCTAATATAGCTCTTATCTACACAGATGTGTTCTTTTAAGTCCCACCCCTAAGTTCAGAACTAGGGCATTAGGTCAGTGGATCTAAAACAGAAGTGTGCATGGCAATATCCCAGAGGGCTCATTAAAGCACAGATTGTTACTGTCCGCCCCCTCTCCTTCTAGCTTCACTTGCTCTGGGGTGGGGCCCAAGGATTTGCATTTCTAACAAGTTCCAAGGAGATGCTGATGGTGCTGATTCTACCGCCACACTTTGAGGACTTGTGGTCAAGAACCACGCCAGCAATTTTTAAATTAATTTGTTCATTAAATATTAGCACTGGCACTGCACTAGGCACTGGGGGATATACAGGTGAGCACAAACAGATTTGAGATCTCCCTTTTTGGAGCTTACATTGGGCAGACAGTAACCAGTAATTACACAAATAAAATTAAATGGAAACAGAAAGGGTCTAGTGTCATAAAGGTATTATGAGACGATTTAAATTGCGGGTTTGCTCAATCAGGGCTGCCAGAAAAAAAGGTCACCGGGGAAGTGATGAGTGGAGGGTGAAGGAGTAAGCTAGGTAAACAGTGCTGGGGATAGTGTTCCAGGCTGAGGGAATGACATGTGCAAATGCCCCATGATGTGAAGAGCCTGATGAGCAGGAAGTCAGGGAAGCAGGGAATGTGAGGGCTGGAGTAGAGACAGTGAGAGGGAGCTTGCTGTAAGGGGAGGCTGGAAGGACACAAGGGAGGTGAAGCACACAGATTGTTGGTGAGCTCTGAGCTGGTGCCTTGCACCAGCTAATCAGGTCTCCACCTTACATCCTGGGATGAGTAACTATGCTCCTGTCTTCCTCACCTCCACCAGGCCCATTTCCTGCCAAGTTTGCTCATTCCTCTGGCAGTGGGACCCTGCTCTGCTTCTACTAGCCAGCTCTCCTGGGCCATCAAATCCTCCCTGTGAACTCCATTTTCCCAAGACCTCTCTCTCTGCCTGCAGAATGGCTGTCCTCAGGAGCAGCATCCCAAATGCTAGGCTGTGCACACCTCCAGGGCACTCCTGATGGACCTGCCCTGCCCTGAATCCTCGCTTCCTGGGCGATGCTTCTCACGTCTATATTCTACACGCAGGTCCACATTTCCTCCCACAACCTGCCAATCAAACCTCCAGTATTAGCTGCCCCACTGGGGCCTATTGCTCTATCCCCTGGACTCTGGTAAGGGGTGACCTATGAGCCCCTGCCTACTTCCCCAACCTTACGTCACACTAATTTTTCAAGGCCTCCTAACCTTCTGGCTATCCCTAAAATCCCTACCTCGGGGACTTTGCATGTGCTGTAATCTCTGCCTGAACACCCTCTTCCCAGCTCTCCTTAGAACTGGCTCCTTCCTTCTCATCTTTCAGGCCTTACTCACAAATGACCTCACCAGAGAAGCTGTAACTAATCACCCCGCTTAAGTGAGAGCTCCCACTCCCAAATTATCTCTACTTTAGCTCCCTTTATGCTTTAGTGTCCACAAGGGATACTTTTTAGTATCTACTGTGGGCTGTAATTATTCTATTTATTTGTTTACTTATTCACTGACTGCCTCTTCCACCAAAACATAAGTCCCATGACACACAAACGTAAGACCATGTTTGTGCTGCTAATTGTTGTATCCTCAGCCTTTTTCAACCTACTGGACATAGCATTGGTTCTCAAGAAATATTGATAGATTGTATGAATGAATGATTAAATAGATAAGTCAATGAATAAATAAAAGAAATGAAGAAAACTTTTTAGATTGGTATTCCACATCTCTCTCCTTGTGCTTCTTTTAAAGGACACTCACATTTTCTGATTTCTCCTATAGCCCAGGCATTTCATAATTAATCTTCATGACCCGTCTGTGAAACAGGCATTTTACTCCCCTGCTGTGATGAAGAAATGAAGGCTCACAGATGCAGCACCTTGCCCAAGCAGATGTAGCCTGCACAGCTGGAATTCAAATGCCAGTCTAGTTTAAGTGCAATGCTGATGGCCTTTCCACCGCTCTGAATTTAAGACTTAATAAATGTTCAAACCAGTATAGTTATGGAAACACAGTTTTAGCAAGCAGCTCTTGGGAAGCAGTCAATTTAATTTAGTCTTCGAAGAATTCAGGCTTAAAATTTGTCTTTTAAATTAAGTATACATATATCTAGAGGTAGGCCATGTTTTTCTATACAGGAAGGCCAAGAGGTTTCTATTTTCAAGCTGCTTCTTTTCATCCTAGATTACAGGAGACTCCCAAGGTCAGGGTCCGACACACTTGCCCTCAATTTCCAGCCATGAGACAACGATTCACTGAGTGCTGACTTCATGCTAGGCTCTGTGCGCGCTGAGCTGGGAATACACAGATGAAGGCTTGAGTTTATCCCTGCTACCCAGGAGCTGTGGGTGACTAGGAGTTAGATTACAAATGGACAACCCACACATGGAATGATCCCAGCTCCAACAGAGTGAGCCAGGGGGGCTGTGGAAGGTAATCCTTTGCTGAGCACTGATAGATGAGCAGGAATTGGTCAGGGGAGGTGAGGAGGGCATTCACCGAACAGTGCAACACCCTGACTTACTTAGGGCAATCAGCACAGAGTAGGCCCAAGGAGGCTGTGGGAGACCAAACGTGGTAACGAGAGGCCCTGCCACTGTCCCCTTCCAGAACGACTCAAGACTGGCTGCCACTACCGACAACTAATGTGGGGGCAGTGGCAGCTGTGCAGGTCGGGTAACAGCAGCATAGCACTGCGCTTAGGAATGTGAATTTCACCTCAGTGTTAAATGTTTGGTTCTGCCCCTTATTGCTCTGTGACCTCAGTTGAATTACTTAGTGTCTCTGTGCCTAACTGTGGAAGGAGATCATGGTGATAACACCTGCCCCTGGCTTCTTTGTGAAGCTTGAAGGAGTTGATGCATGTGGAGCACAAGGCCCCACTCCTGGTAGCTCTGGGTCCATGGTAGCTTTTATTTCCATTTTTCAGATGGTCTAACTTAAAGAGAGATCTTCTGGTTTGGTAAAAGAGCATGAAAGATTGTGCAAAACCTCAACAACCCAACTATCTACCCGAGTATCAGATAGGGTGAGTAGAGCCACAAACCCAGAAACATTTAGAATAGAGGCTCAGTGACCTTGACCCTCCTAGCAGAGGATGTCCCACATTCAAGAGCACTTATTATGTGCCAGGCACAGTACTGAGCACTTCTTATGTCTCATCTCATCGACACATTATGCCAGCCCTGTGACTTGGGGACCATCACCCCTATTTGATGGATGAGGAAACTGAGCCTGAATAGGTTCAGGTGACTAACCCCAAAGCCCACTGCAGGCAATGGAAGGGCACCAGATTGATCCTTTGCATCTAGATACCAGGTGGAGGCCCCAGAGGTGGAGTAGGGTTTTACAGTATAAGCGGTGGCCAGCCCCAGGGTGACCATCACTGGCACTTCTAGGCCACACAGTCTCCCAGCAGGGGTGGAGCAAAGCAGGGGCTTCACACGGGTCTCCTGTGTATTGAGGCCACCTGCTCCTCCCACACCTCTCTCGACATTTCTATAGTGAAATCAGGTAAATCAGGGTTTACACATGCCAATATGCCACAAATTCATTAGTTCCTCAGGCCACCTGCTCCTCCCCACACCTCTCTCGACATTTCTATAGTCAAATCAGGTAAACCAGGTTTTACACATGCCAATATGCCACAAATTCATTAGTTCCTGCTGCCATTACATCCTTTTGAAGGTCATGGTGTGATGGGGGTGAGGTGAATTCTGAGGAAGAGAAGCGGGTAGAGGCAGATGTCATTCCCTGGGCCCCGAGGGGAAAGATGCTTTGGCCATTTCGGTCAAACCTTTAAGCAGACATGACTGCTTTTGAGTTTAGCAATGCTCCTTCATTGAAAACAAAGCCACTAAGCCACGCCTTCCGGGCACCAAACAGCTCCTTTTAATGGAATAATTATGAGAAGCATAAGCAGAGTGAGGTCGCTTCCCAGAGGCACAGGGCCAGCCTCACTCCTTAGACCCCCAATTCTTGGGGGTGCTCCATTGTGTACACAGCCATAATCATGATTACATAAACATGGAGAGGGTGAGGGCAGAGGGCCAGGTGCCACATTTGCTATGTCTGCTTTCTCCTGCTGTCATAAATCTCTCCAGATCCAAACACAAATAGCCACAGCTCAGGGTTCTCCAGGCCAGAGTCAGCAGCAAGATATTTTGGAATTGCTGATCCAAGACTTTTGTGTCTTTCCTTCCTTGGTCCCCAACTCCTCACCCCTTTATTGGGAATGCTTCCCACCCACATGGATCAGTGAAGAATTTCTCTTGAGTGGTGGCAGGTCCCACAGAGCCATTACTGGGACAGAAACCTTTCTCCTTTGCCAAGAAATTGATTCCCCTTTGTTGTAACTTTCATTTCCAGTTGGACTCGTGGTGCTCCACTCAGTTCTTCTTTTTCTGAATTCCTTTCCTTTGAGAACTCGCCTGTGCCATAGCTTTAACCATCACCTCCAAGCTCGTGACGAAGGGATGAAGCTATTGCAGAGTGCCCAGCACAGTGCCGGGCACACAGTAGGCCTCTCATAGAGGACCAAACACAATGTCCTGTGCCCTGAGGGCTAAGCTAGCACTCAGTACACAATAGGCTCTTTACGGGGTGCCCAGCACAGTGCCTGGCACACATTATGCTTCTTAGGAAGTGTTTACTACTAATGGCTCCCACATGGACTTAGCAATACCACCTCCAGGAATCCTTTCTGGATCACTTTCTGTTCTATCCAGGTGATTAGACTCTCATTAATTTCCACTAAGTCTCAATTTCTTTACCTGTAAGTGAGGAATTGTCCTTGCAGGACTGTCTGGGGTACACCTACAAGGTCTAACTGCAATGCTCATCAGAGCAAGAGGAGACCAACAAAACCTGGGGCTATTTATTATCCACCTGGCCCGGGCTCACTCGCCTCGCCTGGGACTGGCTCCCCTCCTCCCTCTGCCTGCTGAAATCCCTCCCATCCTTCAGGCACCCCCTTTGGGGCTGTCCACCCTGGCGCCCTCTCTGGTTTTTCTCTCCTCTTTATTTTTATGGCCCTACAGTCCGATGCACATGATTCAAGGCTTCTTACTCTCACACTTGGTTTCAAGCATAGTCATTTCTCTCCTCCCAAACAGAGAAGGAGAAAGTGATGTGAAGGTTAGGTCTATATTATAAATAATTTTCCCCTATTTCCTTTACAATGCCTGGCTCACAGCTAAGAATGTGTTCCAAAGAACCTTACCGATGGGTTGGTGTATAAGAGAGTTCTCATCTCACAGAATTTTATGTTATTATTTTTTCTAGTTTATCAGACACATAATAGTGTAATAAACAATATCCGTGATCAAAAAAGAAAGAAATACTCTGCGTCCACCTCCTATTGCATGTTAGCAGTTGAATTCCACTCTTTCCTTTCATTTTATGTCCTTTTGAGTTGAGAATGTACACAAAGCTGTGATCACCGTGTACATGAAATTTGGCATTCTTCTTTTTCACTCAATATGCTACCACGGCTATTTTTCTCATTTTGTGACGGAGTCTCCATAATTATCTTTTTTTTTAGGGGCTGCATAATACTCAAGTGTGTGGGTGTAGCATAATCTACTGAACTATTTTCCTTCTGTTGATAACGGAGGCTGCTTCTGCATCTTCACTGTTACAGACGATGCTATAATTCACCCGGGACGTATGCTGCACACCTGCTGTGAATCAGAAGCAGTGCTTGGCTCTGCAGTAGGCGACCGGGGACCTGTTGCCTTTTTCTTCTTTTGGATTATTTCCTGAGGATAGGATGAGTGGGACAGAGGGCATACACATATTTGCAGCTTCCCAGTCATTTTCAGTCTAATTCTGGGGTCTCTACTTAAACACATAAGGAATTGTTGGAAGTCACACTTGAAAGAAGGTGGTGGTGAGGGGGATCTCAGATGCTGTTGCCTTCTGCTCTGCTGACATCAGGAGAAATCACTGCTTTGGGGGCTAAAGGTCACAGGTCAAGGACAGAGAAGGACAAGGGGATGGAGCAGCTACATGGGAAATGGGAACTTCAGGAGCTCCCTGGCCATAGGCTGCCCGTCACATTTTCAGAAGAGCTGCCCCTCCTGAATCTATTCTCTCACTACTTTCCGCATCCTACCGCCTCCAGCTGCACCGGTCTCCTTTCAGATTCTCAAATTTCCCAAGCCTTTTCTGACACTGGGCCCTAGCACATAGCACTCCCCAAGTCAGAAATGCTCTTCCTTTGACCAATTTCTCATCTTTCACATTTCAGTCCAAATCTCACCCTTTGATGGACAATGTGTCTGATTTCCCCATCTGCATGTTTATTGGCACCTTGTGTTTCTCCAGCAGGGCACATATTGAACTTGTAAATCAAGGAATTTTAAAAAATTGTTTGTCTCTTCTTCCCCAACTAGACTCAAACTCCACGTAAATGGTGACTCTCAAAGTGGTCTGGCTGTATCTCCCGCCCTGGCCCAGTGCCTGGCCCAACACAGACATTCAATATTGATTAAGTAGGTCAGTACATGAATAAAGGAAAGGATGCTCACAAAAATATCATTAAGAGGATGAAAGAAAAGATCGCTGAAGGGACATGGTAGTTCATTTTCCCCACCACAGATTGATAGACACTAGGTAAAAGAAGGGCTATCTAACTAAGGGTTATGAAAATAGGCAAAGGTAAATCCTGGAAGTCTTTAAACTATGCCTGCAACCTATAGACTTCTGCGAACCAGACGGGGAACTTCTAATATCTCCATGTAAAGCTCTCTCTTCATGACCTCCTGCAAATACTGGGTCAATTTTAAGTTACATGCAAATCTCCCTGTTCAAACCTTTAATAACAAATCTGAAAATTCAGACTATCAGGAGACTCTCCTTTCCAAGAAACTCTCACTTAATCTGATCCAAATCCACCACCTCAGATAACCAGATCTCCCATCCCTCTAGTCCTTCGATTTTCCATCTTACTGTGTGATTTGCAGAAAATTGTGATGCTATTATTAGGATGCTAGCTGGACAACTAACTTCTTTGTACCTTGCAATTTAGTGCTGATCAACTGAAAATGCAGGAACACTGGCACAGGACATCCCTAAACCCTCTCAGGAATAGAACCTGAGGACCAGCCTCAAACTCTGAGCAGCAGGAGGGCTGAGATGCACAAATCCTCTGAGAACACGGCAGCAGCTGGGTTTTCCACCTGCTGCACACGCACATAGCCATGATCAATGGCTTCAGGATCACCGGTGGAAATGGGTTAGGTTAGAAGCCAGTGTCCCCCTGGATGACTGCAACAGCCAGCAGACTGATCTCCTGCCTCCCGCCTCCCCTCTCCCATCTGTTCTCTGCGTACCACCAGTGACTGCCCCAAACCCAAATCTGATCATGTCACCACTCTGGTCCTTCGTTGGCTCTCAGTCATACACGGGTTGGAGTCTATATTTCCTTAGGCTGTTGTGTGAATGAATGAGAAAGAAACTTCTCTATGTTAAGGCAGTGTTATAGCAGCTAGCATAACGGCTTTGCAAGTTATAAATTTGCTTTGCAAGCTACTTAACTGCTCTATTCCTGAGTTTTATCTTCTGCAAAAGGGGGTTGTTAAGAGGGTTAAATGAGCTAATATAGGTGAAATATTTAGCACAGAGCTAGTCATACTAAGACCTCAATGTATATTTACTATTATTACTATGGTAGTATTAGCCCCCCTTCCAGATGAATGCAACTGTTCTTTCAGAGGGAGAAGAGCAAGGGCCAACCTGGTGCTCCTTTGAGCAAACACCTTACCTTTTCACTTCTTGCACATAGTCTGCATTTCGGTCAAAGAGGTGGGTCACGGAGTCTTTGATGGCTTCATGCTTGAAAGTAGAAGCTGTTCCAAAGACAGTCACATTGGGGATAGTGGAGCACAGCTGAGCCACAGCTTGGCCCTGGGCGTGAAATACAATAGACAAGTCACATGGAGAGCTACCATCCAACAACCAGCCTTGCTGGGCATACAGCAGCATTTCTCAAGCTTGCCACTACTGGTCATTTTTTAGGCTGAATTAGTCTTGGTTGTAGGGAGCTGAACTGTGCATTATAGGATGTTTAGCAGCCTCCTTTCTCTCCACCTCCTGGGAGCTAGTTGTGACAACCAAATCTATCTGCAGACATCTCAAAGTGTCCCCTGGGGGACAAAATCTCCCTTGGGTGAGAAGCACGGGTGTAGAGGAATGTCTCTGTGAGCCAGCAAAACCCCAACACCAAGACTTAACAACTATTATTTAACCATACTGACCCTCGGATTCCTCTCTGTAAGTTAGCAATAATGGTACCTACTCCATAGGGACCTTGGGGGATGTTTTAGTTTGGATACCAGAGAAGCAGACACTGAGGCAAAGATGCGAGTGTTAGTACTGTATCAGGAATACAATTGCAGGAAATACCAGGGTGTCAAGACAGAAATAGAAGGCAGTCCATAAAGGGTATGTTATCAAGCCCGTATTCCCCAGGGGCACCCGGAACTCAGGCCCTCTGAAGACTCTGTGAGCAAGTGTAGAATATGCTTCAGAGTTATCCCAACCAAGTGGTGAGGAAGCTGGAATATTTATCCACCAAATTTCCATCTGATATTGGCTGAGGGTTGCTCTTGCAGCAGTAACTCTGGTGCATGTCTGGCTTTCCTCTTGGACAGACAGAAGCTCTAAGCAAGCAACCTTCAGCATGTCAAGAAGATATGGTGTGGCTGACAGCATACGTTACAAGGGTGTTAAATGAGGCAGTCTGTAACACAGGTCAAGCACCTGCCACAAAACAGGACACTTAATAGAGACTCAGTAAATCTTAATCAGCTGTACCCTTTAGTCACTTATTATATCCAGGGCAGAGACGTCCAGGCATATAAAGAAAAAGCCAATGCATGAGGTTTAACTATTAAGGATCCAGGAGAAATCACAAATGCAGCTAGAAATGGATTATTCCATGTCCTTTTCCAGTATGCTTGGAAGTTTAAGTCATTGGACAAAATACTGTGACCGTGTACATTTAGAAACCTTCCCCCCCAAAAAACAATTTGCTGGTAAATAAGTTGCATTCTACAACCAAATACTATCTCTTTTCAGTGTTCCATCTGCCATCATTAGGAGCCATAAATTATTATGGAGGGAACTTATTCTACCAAAGTCATCTGTGATATTTGTTTCTGCCTATCACTCTGTTTACATGTCTTCTTCCTATTGGTGGACTAAATTAGGTTGGCAGGTGAATTTGTGGAAATTTAAATCTTCCAACATTTACAATTAAAGGCAACATTGTGAGAATCAGAATGCCAGACTTGGAAGATCATCCAATTATCCTTTCCCGTCACTGTTTATGGACGAGGGGAGGAGACTCGGGAAGGTTAGGGTGACCCAGTTCTTCCGAGGCAGATCTGAGATTTAAAGCAAGGTCTCCTGATTTCCAGTTACTGCCAGTTTCTATTATGCCATGTTGTCAACTTACTTTGACATTTAAGCTAAGCAGACACTTGGAGGTCAACACTTTGGAACATGGGTGTGAACCTAAGGCTCCAAGGAGGCTATAGAGCTCTCTGTTCTCAGAATAACTTGATATTTGGTTAAAGTTTTATCCTCTGATTTTAGAGAACAAAGAGGGGATTTTCCTCACTCATGAGTGTAAATATCAGCAATCAGCATAGCAATCCTCTCAAATTCAATAGGGCTTGAGCTAGCCTCATTAGTGCTGAGATGGGAGATTAGAATGGGTTCCAATCACTGTGTAGTCCCTCCTGTCCTCTGTCCTTAAGCAAACATGACATTTATCCACTCAGCTATTTTTTAAATTCTTAGTATGTACAGTCACATTGTGCTATCGATGCTGGAGTGTCAGAAATGATTGGCACACCTTAATCTCCACCTCTAGTCCCAAGTCTCTTACTGAGTCCCAGACTTGCGTATTGGACTACCATTTTGGCACCTATCTTCACTGGGATATTAAAAAATAACACATCAACCTCAACTGATCTAAGATAGAACTCAGGACCATCTCCAAATGAGTTACTCCCTGCATTAGTTTGTTAAGACTGTTGTAGCAAAGTTCTGCACACTGGGTGGGTTAAACAGCAGAAGTTATTGTTCCACAATTCTGGAGGCTAGAAGTCTGAAATCAAGGTGTTGACAGGGTTGCATCCTTCTCATGGCTGTGAGGAAAAGGTCTGGTCCAGGCCTCTCTCCTTGGCTTGTAGATGGCCATCTTCTCCCCGTGTCTTCACTTGGTGTTCCCTCCATGTGTGCCTATGTCTAAATTTCCCCTGCTTTTTTATGTTTTTCTTTTTCTTATTGAGTTCAGAGAGGAAGGGAGAGTGAGAGTGAGGTAGAAACATCAATAAGGGAATCACTAATCAGCTTTCTCCTGCACGCCCCCTACTGGGCATTGAGCCCACAACACGGGCATGTGCCCTGACCAGAATCGAACTGTGACTTCCTGGTTCATAGGTCAATGCTCAACCACCAAGCTACACTGGCCAGACTAAATTTCCCCTTCTTATTAGGACACCAATCATATTGGATTAGAGCTCACCTAATGACCTCATTTAACTCATTGTACGCCATAAGCGTCTGTAGATGCAAGCGGCAGACCTTCCCCACATGCCACGCATGTCTCTTAAAAAAAAAAAAAAAGGTTTTCCCTAAGTGGCAGGCCTGACTAACTTTAAAATCATTTTTTGTGAGAATTTTCAGCTGAAAATATTCAAGAACACCCAAATTGTGAATAACATATTTATTTTTATAACATTCATTGCAAATTGATTTTTTAAATTAAATTCAAAATATCATGGCATATGGGGATGGTTTCCATTTTGGACACGTGGCAGTTAACTGATGAATTTAATCACCTCTGGAAAGAACCTATCTCCAATTGAGGGCCCATTCTGTGGTGTTGTGGGTTATTTCACCACATGCATTTTGGGGAGACATGATTCAACCCATAACACTCCTCTTACTGCATTTCCTGCCTCAGTGGATGGAATCGCACCATTTACTCATTGCTGAAGCTAGGAACCTGGGGTTATCCTGGACTCCTCTTCTGCACTCATCCCCACATCCAATTAGTCAGCAAGCGTGTTATTTCCACTCAACCTCTCTATGGCTGTCACTTCTTAGTCTGGTTGTCATACTTCCTCCCCTGGATTATGACAGCACTCTTCTGATTGGCCTGGCTGGTTTCATGTGCATTTCACACTGTGGACAGAGTGATTTTTCTCAAAGAGAACATCGAGCATTTCACTATTTGTTTTGAAGCTTCCCAGTGCTTATCATGGCTTTCAGAATGAAAAGTACACCCTTTACTTTAATCACACAAGGTCAGCCCTCATGGATCTAACCCAGTCTACCTCATTAACATGACTTCCTCCACTTTTCCAATATCTACTTCCTAGCAACACAGAACTTGAGTCATCACTGATTGACACTGGCCATGAGCCGGGTTCTGTGCAGCCCTCATCCCATGGCATTCTCAGAATGAGTCATCAGCTGACCCAAGCAGAATGTTACCATTTCATTTTAATGAGAAAGATACATGTGCTTGTGAAATGAGAAAAGTTACTGGGTTACTTATATATTTATCTTATTTAATATAAAATATATGAGTATTATATATGTAATATATAATACATTTATATATAAATATTATATAATTTTTTAGAGGCCCAGTACACGAAATTAGTGCACTGGGGTGGGGGGAGTCCCTCAGCCCGACCTGTGCCCTCTCACAGTCCGGGACCCCTCGCTCCTTACCACCCGCCTGCTCACTGCTCCTTAGTGCTGCCGTGCAGGCAGGAGAGGCTCCCGCCACTGCTGCTGCGCTCACCAGCTGTAAGCCCGGCCTCTGGCTGAGTGGCATTCCCCCTGTGGGAGCACACTGACCACCAGGTGGCAGCTCCTTCATTGAGCATCAGCCCCCTGGTGGTCAGGGCACATCATAGCAACTGGTCATTCTGGTCGTTCTGCTGTAATGGTCACTTAGGCTTTTATTGTATAGATCAGTGGTTCTCAACCTTCCTAATGCCGCGACCCTTTAATACAGTTCCTCATGTTGTGGTGACCCCCAACCATACAATTATTTTCGTTGCTACTTCGTAACTGTAATTTTGCTACTGTTATGAATCGTAATGTAAATATCTGATATGCAGGATGTATTTTCATTGTTACAAATTGAACATAATTAAAGCATAGTGATTAATCACAAAAACAATATGTAATTATATATGTGTTTTCCGATGGTCTTAGGCGACCCCTGTGAAAGGGTCATTTGACCCCCAAAGGGGTCGCGACCCACAGGTTAAGAACCGCTGATATAGATGTATAATTAGCATTATATGTATATGTGTATTAATAGTACATATATATAACTAATATCTAATACATAATATTTCATTTATAATATATAACTTGTATAATAATACAGTATCGCCCCCCTTATTTGCAGTTTTACTTTCCACGGTTTCAGTTACCTGAGGTCAACCTCAGTTAGAAGATATTAAATTAAAAACTCTAGAAATGCCGAAACCGGTTTGGCTCAGTGGATAGAGCGTCGGCCTGCGGACTGAAAGGTCCCAGGTTCGATTCCGGTCAAGGACATGTACCTGGGTTGCAGGCACATCCCCAGTAGGAGATGTGCAGGAGGCAGCTGATCGATGTTTCTCTCTCATCGATGTTTCTAACTCTCTATCTCTCTCCCTTCCTCTATGTAAAAAATCAATAAAATATATTTTTAAAAAAACAACAAAAAAAAACCTCTAGAAATAAGCAATTCATACGTTTTAAAATGTGCACCATTCTAATGCCATCCCTCCCCATCCTGCCCAGGATGTGAGCCATCCTGTGGTCCAGCTGTATCTGCTGCCACCTGCCAGTCACTTAGTTGCCGTCTTAGTTGTCAGATCAACTGC